CACACACACACACACACACACACACACACACACACACACACACACACACACGCTTTAAAAAGCAAATCAAAACTGTTTTATAATATAGACAAAACCACATAATTAGTGGTGTCCTAATAGCATTTTAAAAAAGGTACTCATACTCGTTTGGAATGCCTCGATACCTGGAACCGATACCAATATATTTTTTTTGCGTGGACATTCAAATTTCAGATGCAACCTCCATGAGACTCCAGTGTGAACGCTTTCTGCCATCAATGTGACCTGTGTGCACATTCAGCACTCTGTTTACAGGTGTGGATGCTACATTTTAGCATGTCGATTCTGAAGTTACACGATCAAAGCAGGTTAAATTATCCGACAGGCTTGCTTAGTTTACTGTTTAGGTTTATATGAACACATTCAGTTGGTATTAAAAACTGCAAAAGTCATCTTGCGTTGAATTGGACTACAAATCAGCTGGTAAATGGAAAATGAGGTTTAGGTTATGTAAAGAAGTGGAAAATGGTCAACATTCCTATTTTGCTCCAAATGTTGGATTTTCCAAAAGGTTTTCCAGCCAAATTATCCAGCAGCGGTCAGTGGTCAAACCCAGACAGTGGAAATACCAAGAATGCCAATGGCAGAGACACAGGGATTAGTCTGGTCCGAAAACTGTTTGTCAGGATCCTTTTGATTTAATGTAGCAAATTCTTATCAGAGTTACAGAGTGTCTTGGTCCTTTTTTAGATTTCTGGAGTAAATCCAAACACCAGGGCAGATCTGACCATTCATTGTCCCAACAGTGAGGAGAGAAGAATAAAAGTTTTCCCGCTGAAAACTTTCCTTCCTTCCCCCAGTGCTTCAGCTGTGTGCCTAGCGGAGAGCTATTGTTTCAGGTTAGCAGAAGGCAGGGAGAACTGAAAGCAACCTTTTGACTAACATGACCTACAATGTGAGGCAGTTCAAAGAAAAAAGCTGAGATTTTTATCGAAGGAAAGCTATTTTTTGTCCTCACACCTCTCTGCGAGGAAAGGCAGGCTGCAGCATCTGAAGTGACTCAGCTCTTTACAAAAGACTCTTCAAAAAGTTGTCACAGTTTTTGTGTGAAATAACTGATTACAGCTGAAGCAGAAGACAACTCGCACAATGCCACACACACACGTGCACACACCTAAATGCAGCAGCGCAAATGAGTTCCACAGCAGCGATTACATAAGCAGCAACGCCTCGGAGTAACTGTGCCAGCCTCCATGTATAATTCACATCCACTCCTCTGAGAAAATATCTGACATGGCAAAGCGGCGCAGATGTATTCAGACATACTGTCCATGCTGCTGTAAGCTCAGGAACGATAGAGGGAAGACAGACTGGCGCAAGAAAAAAAAAATCCTCATTCAGCAAACTGAACAGAAGCCAGACCCACTTCTAACCTCTCGCTGCCTTTCTGTTTCTGAACCCCCTGGTCTCCCTCTACCAATGATCCACCATCAATCTAAGGTTTTGCATAAAAATCTCTTCAGTGGAATTGATGGAAAATATCACATTGGGAGGATTTTATCTGATCTGAATCTCTTTGAACCCACTTTTCAAACCCGAATCTTCACATCCACAGAATCTCACAAAAGTTGAGTACACCCCTCATTTTGTTGACAAAAGTTTACACATTATTGGCTGTGTTGAGTTATTGTATAGTTATACAAGCTGTACTTTGACTACTTTACATTGTAGCTAAATGTCAAATTCACTGTTGTCCCATGAAGAGATAATGAAATATTTACAAAAATAGTGAGTGTATTAGTGAGAAAACACCACTTTTACTCTGACATTGACTCCTTAGAAACAGAAGAAAAATGACTCACTGTAAAAACATTAATCTCATTGGCATTTATTAAAGGTTTACAAAAATAACAGACTTTCTCCAAGCTCGTTGCCTCTAAAGTTTCCTGCAAAGTTAAAGGAATAGTTCATTTTTCCCCTAGATATGTGGGTTTCTGTGAAGTAGCTATGATTGTCAGTATCTTACTTGCAGCAGACAGCAGTTCAGACTGTCTTAAATTGTAAAACAAGGGATTAAAACCAGTTACTCAACAGAAGCAAGTGCAAATGTACGCCTTTTAAAACAATTTAATAATTTCATAACAACCCACTTATAAAGTTGTTTCTCTATGTTAAAATATGACTTTGTATTGTGATAATCCCCCATAAACATTCACTCACTTGATTCTTTAATTCTAAGCTAATGCAGTTAGCATGTGCCAACAGTTTTATAGAGTGTTGCTGCTGAGCTGAAAAACAACACAATAAATAGATATTTATTTAAAACCCTGTCCTAACTGGAAAAGAACAATGAAGAGGGACAATTAAAGTCAGCAAAACTCCACCAAGCTGTTTATAAACTTTAAATTTAACATCCTACAGTTAAAATTTAGGAGCACACAGAAGGTACACACACAAGAAGCATGAGTCAACACGTCTGGAAAAGGTTGTAACCTGCAACATGTGACACACATTTACCTCATTTGTTTTGCTCAGAGCAGATGAGGTAACCCATCTTTCCCTTTGCTACTCTGACTCCACTTCACCTCACCTCTCCATGTTACACTTCACGTCAACGTTTGAGCATTCAAGGCGTAAAAACGTCACCACCAGGAAGCTGCGCCAACACCCAGTCTGGGTAATTACACTCTTCTCTCACTGGGCTCTTAAACGAAACCATGATACAGTCACTACAAAAGAGCAGGTCCAAAAAAGAGCTGCTGTCTATAAACATAATCTGCTGACACATCAGTCTCGG